CAATTAATTGTATATATAATGTATACAATAAATTGATAAATAAATAGACTAGAAATACATAATAGGATAACTGATTATTATTTGTATTATTATTATTATTGGTATTATTTATATTAATTATTTGTATAAAATAACTAAAACATATATACATTATTAACAATTGTAACCAAATTATTAGATTTACGGTTTTAGATATAAATCTCATATTTTTGCTATCAATTTGAAATGATTTTTGTATTGATTTTAATTGATATTTTTCATAAATATTAATCGATTTATTATATCTAATAAACTGATTGATAAGTAATTGATTTTTTCGGTGTAAACATCGATAATAATCTAAGTTTAGCCGATAGTATAGGTATTGTATGGCCAGATACCAGCCGTTTAGGTATACGATAGCTATTGGACAGTGATGTCTGAATAGTAGTAGTGATGGATATATTTGATAATAATTATCAAATACCTGATCGCCAGTAATATAGATAAACTTCATTAAACTGATTATTAGTTGTACTAATAGATAGCAAATTGTTGAGAAATTTTTATTAATATAATTATTTGTATTATTATTATTAGTAGTAGTATTATTATTAGTAGTATTATTATTAGTAGTATTATTATTAGTAGTATTATTATTAGTAGTAGTATTATTAGTATTATTATTAGTATTATTGTTAGTATTATTATTAGTAGTAGTATTATTAGTATTAGTATTAGTATTAGTATTATTATTATTAGTATTATTAGTATTATTATTCAATTCATATAATTCATCATAGATTTCAAATATTTGTCGATAATTTTTTTGAACTAATATATAGCTAACTAATAGTGGAATCAGCGATAATAATACAAACAATTTGTTTAATTTAAACCAAAATGTATTCACAGTTTCGGTGTTTTGGTGGCCAGTGTTGATGGTTGTGGTCGGCAATAGCGGTACAATAGCGCCGATAAAATAGACGGCAAATACTGAGTACATGAGTCCAGTAAAAAAACGGTCAACACTTTTGTGGCGGCTATTGATGCCGTAAATTATAAATAGATATTTAAAAAGCATTTTTTAAATTTTTAAATTTTTTAGTAAAATATTTATATAACATTAAGTTTAGTATAATTATAAACAAAATAAAATTATTATTATTATTATTATTATTACATATTTTTTAAAATTGTGAATTAATATTAAATATTATTAGTTTTATTATTATTATTATATTAATTTACAAAAAAAAATATTTATATATATATATATTGTAAATAATAGTTTGAATAAAAATATAACAAATTATTAATATAGTTATAAATTATTAATCAATTTTATTAATTATAACAATAATATAATTATAACTATGTTTTATATCATTAATATATAAAAAAAATGATTATTTATAAGTTTATTATTATTATTATTATATAAATTATAATGTTTATATAATAAAATTTTTATAATAATTAAGTTATTATTATTTTTAATTAATTATTATTAGGTATTCATAAAATTATTATTGTATTTAATATTATTATTATTTGATGTTGATTAATACGGTTCAGATGATCACAAAAATGTTTTTTGTGGATATTATATAGAAAATTGATTGAAATTTATATTTAATTAAAACAATATTTTAATTTAAAAATATTTATTTATATATTTATTTAAGTTTTATTATGTGCTATTTAATTGAAACATTAATCTATTATCCTGATACTATTACATAGCATTTGGAAATATATGATAAAAATTTTTGTATAAATATCTAATTAATTATAACTTATAAGTAGATTATTATTATTATTATTACACAATTATTATTAAATCGATATAATTATATTATTTTAGATTTAAGCACTTAATAAATTTTTGTTGTTGAATATTTTATTATAATTTCCATATATATATATATATATATATGTATATATATATATATAAATATAAATTAATACCTAGTTTAGAATTTATAATATAGATATTAACTTATATATATATATTTATAACTTTACAGTATATATATATTAAAATAATAATGATTATTAATAGATATTATATGTGATACACATGTGCAACATTACTATACATTTACATATTAAATAAGTATTATATAGATATATATACTGTATATACCACTGGTTATCAGTATAGTGATTTTTGTTTATTATAATATATTTCATCTAGCTCAAATACACTGTTACATATTAATTTTAATTAAGTGGTATATTTTATTTAATATTATATAAAAAAAAGGTTATTAAATTTGTGTATTATAATTTTTTTTGTTTTTTATCTTGGTCAGTAATTATGTTTTTAAGTAAGGGACCGTATAATAATCGTGATATCGCCTGGTATATACAGATTATAAAGTTTAGTAAAAAAAACTAAAATATTATTATTATAATGCAAATTATTTAATAATAATAATATATATATATATATATAATAGCATTGTTATTAAATAACTAAATACATAGTACCAAGTATCAATGTAAATAAATTTTAAAAAATTTAACATAAAAATGTAATATAATTATAATTAGAAATATATATATATATATTATTATTATTAAATAATTTTCATTATAATAATAATATTTTTTAATAGTTTTTTTTATAAATAGATAATTAATAAAATTAGAGTAAATATTTGTCTTTTTTTTTATAAAAATACAATTTAGTATAAAATAATAAATTTCTTTAATATATAGTTTTAATAGTTTATGATATAAACTATTTATATCTATAAAATTTATATTATATATTAAATTTAGTATATATTTGACATTTCCATACAAATATATATATATGATATTATTTTATTTATTTATTTTTTTCGATAAATAAAAATTAAATTAGATTTTCATATTAACTCATTGACTTTTAATATAGCAATAAATCAACAACAACAAAAATTATTATTTTTTTAAAAATTCAATTTAAATTTCAAGCGTTGACTTCAAATGCAATGCAAACATAATATATATTTAAACAAACAATAAAAATATTATAATAATTTATATAGGATTTGATAAGTAAATTGTTTGAATTATTTGTTTATATAAAATTCATATTAAACTTGTTTTTATTTTAAAATGAATTTTATACAATAGTTATAATATAAAAATTATTTTGTTATTATTATTATTAAATAAAATGATTTCTATTTTTAAATTCAATCATTTTTATTATAACAATATTTTATTCGTAATAATAATATTAATAATAATGTTATGATAAGTATAAAAACATATAATAATAAAAATTTTCTTTTAAGAGATTAATTTTTATAAAAAAAATAAAATAAAAATATTTTCCATTAGTTATTAATGCATGAATTAGTTGAAACAGTGTAAATATATATATATATAATATTTAAATTTAATATCTAAATTAAATAAAAATTTAGTTTTAAATTAATATTTAATATTTTTTTAGAGAATAGAAAATACAAATATATATTATATTATATACAGTTTATAACTAAATATATATATAAATTAATACAATTTCAATGTCAAACTTAACAAAATAATGTTATTATTTTCAAATTTAATGCTAAGTAATAAATAAAATAATAGATTTAAATATGTAAAAAAATAAATAAGATTTTCATAATTTATGAAAAAATTTTTAGAAGATTTAATTATTTTGTACTATAAAATATTATTAAAAATTTTTAAACATGTTTGATATAAATTTAAAAATAAATATATATTTTAATATATTATTACTAAAATAGATCTTATCTTAAATAAACAGAAAAAAATTTTATAATAAACGTTTATTTATCTAAAGAAATATATTAAATTAAAATATTTTTTTTTTTTAAAATTAGAAAAAAATAAATAAAATAATTTTTAACAAAATTGTAATTAGAAAAAAATATATAATTAAAAAATGTTCTTAAAAACATTTAAAAAAAAAATTAATAGATTTACAGTATTTTATAAATTAAATATTTTTCAATACTTTTATAATTTTTTTTTTATATAAAATAATTTTGACGTTATTTCTGAATAAATAGATTTTTTTTTCATCTCAAAATTTAAGTTGTCAAAATTTCTGACGTTTTGTTTGTTATTGTTGTTGTTGTTGTTGTCATAGTGATTGCGTTAACAATCAATGACGTCAGTAAGAAATAGATTTCTAATAAAATCAATGATTAAGTATTAATTTGTGACGGTTTTGGGTTAAATGCCCGTCAAATGCCGTCAAAAGGTTTGCTTAAGTTAGATTAGGTTAAGTACCTAATTGAAAACATAATATTTTAAATATAGAAAATTAATATAAAATTTTTAAATAATTTCATATACAGTATATATATTGTTAATTATTATTAAATTTACTAAAATTGTATTTTAACTTTTAATAGAATATTACATAGATAAAAGATAAATATATACAGTATATAATATAGTTATAATTACAAAAATTAAATTAATTATATTTTAATTTGTGTTACTGAAAGTTTATTTTTAATAATTTTTAAACCATAACAAATTTAAAAAATTTAATTAATAAGTTAATTATTGTTTTTTTTTAAAGTAACTTGGTTAGTGAACAATCAATGATTAAATATTTATAACCTTGATATTTTTTGTAATAATAATAATAAATTGTTTTTATCTTACTTAACTATTTTAATAAATAATAAGTATTTATTTTATTGATAACAAAACAATGTCATAATTAAATTGAAATAAACTAAACAAATACAGTATTATTATTATTATTATTATTACAAAAATATTAATCAATTAATTAAAAGTACATTTAGAACACATTATGATTTTATTTTCAAATAAAAAAATTTCATCTATAAATACAATACTAATTTTTTATTTATTTTTTTAAAAAAATAAAATCTAGTATTTAATATATAGTTAATATAGTTTTCAATATATTTATATAATAGTATATTTAAAAAATAAATTTTTATCTCAACTATAATAATAATAATAATAATGTTTAAACAATTAGTAATTTATTTATTAATTATTTTTATTAGTTTAGTTCAATCACTAAATAACGACAATATTAATAATAATGTAAATATAAAATAATAATCAATTAATTAATACTAAATTATTTCAATGAATTTTATTTATTATTAATTTTTTGTTTTTTTATAATAATTATTAAATAATAATTATAAAAAAATAGCAACATGGTCAATTATCTATCGATGATAATAATAGTGATGATGTATATATGTGCGGCGGTTTCGATGATATAACAATAACAAACCAGTGCTGGAAATATAATAACCAAACCGGTAGTAATCAATGGCAACCAATTAGATCCATGTCCACGGGTAGGGTATGGTTTAAATTGGTATCGACTGATGATTCAAAACTAGTGTACGCTATTGGCGGACAAACTGTATGTTTTAAATAATTTTTATTTTTTAAAAACTTAAATATTATTAATATTTAATAATTATTATTATTATTTAATAAATATAATTATGATTTAATAAATATAATTATTATTTACTAAATATAATTATTATTTACTAAATATAATTATTATTTAATAAATATATTATTTATTTAGAGATGGGAGTTATATATGAAAAATATATCAATAAAATTATTAAAATATTTATAAAATTATATATTATTTAAATACATTAAATAATTTATAGGATAGACATATAGACACCGATAGTTGTGAATCATATGATCCCCAAACAAATCAATGGAAACTATTGAAACCGTTGGCATTTTCCAGAGAGTATTAATTAATTTTTTCAAATTTAAAATATATATATATATATTAATTAAATTTTCTACTTAAATATTAAGATTAAATTATATATTTATTTATTTATTTTTTGTTTTATTTAAACCAGTGGTATGGGTGCAGCAGTTTTGAACAATACTATCTATGTTTGTGGCGGTTATGATGATAATACCCGTAATTATTATTATTATATATTTTTTATATAAAAAAATAATTAATTAAATATTTATTATATAAAAATTTATTATAATAATTATATTAATAAAATTATTTTTTATTTATTTATTTTTTTAAAAAATATTAATACATTGTAGTTAAACGTCATATTGAATGTGAATATTATTCACATGCGGATAATGACTGGCATTTTACTAGATCAATGATCCAGGTTAGGGCATATTTTGAATTGGTAGCCCTTGGTGGCAATATGTATGCAATTGGTGGCGATATTGGTGGTATGTATTTGAATACAGTGGAACGGTATGATCTGGCCAGTCATCAATGGCAACTGGTGGCCGGTATGCATAAAAATAGGTTAGGGGGTGATACTGTTTAAAAATTGAGCATGCTTAATTTTGTATTATTATTATTATATATAGATCTGGCCATGCTGCTGTAGCCTATATGGGCAAAATCTATGTGTGCGCTGGCGATAGCTATACTAATAATACATGTGAATCATATGATCCCATTAGAAATCAATGGACACTAATTGGTTAGTTATACAGTATATAGTATATACTATAATAGTTATAATACTAATTATTAATTATAATAATTATAATAATTATAATACTAATTATTAATTATAATAATTATAATACTAATTATTAATTATAATAATTATAATACTAATTATTAATTATAATAATTATAATACTAATTATTAATTATAATAATTATAATACTAATTATTAATTATAATAATTATAATACTAATAATAATTATAATTATAACTAACAGATAATTTTTTTTGTTAATCAATATATAGAATATTTTGAAGAAAAATATTTCTATTATTTAGACTATTAATAGACACACGAAAAAAAACATTATTATTATTATTAAATTATTTTATTATATATTCTATTTAATTAATTCAATATAGATTATAAATGTTTTTTATTATATAAAAAAAATTAAAATACATAAATTATAATATTATCAATTATATATTTTTTTAAAAATTTATATCTATAGCACCTATGAATGAAATAAAACGTATGGCTGATCTACAATTATTAGTTTATCATGGTCAATTGCATGCAATGGGTGGCCAGAGTCCAGGTATATATATATATATATATATATAATTTATTTGCTAAAAATTATTATCAAATATAAATTAAAAAATAACTAAAAAAAAAATTTAATTTATTTAATATATGATATCAGTTACCGATTCAATTGAAATATACAATCAAACTACTAATCAATGGCATTATAGTAGCCAAACATTGCCGCATAAATCAATGGCTTTCGGGGTATAAATAATTTTTAAAAAAAAAAGTTAATTAATTATTCAATTTTTATTACAATTACTTTTATTTATTTATTTTTTTTAAATAGGTAACAGTATTGAAGAAACATTAATTGTAATTAAGTAACACTTATACAAACATTAAACAAAAATATAATTAATAATTAATAATAATTATTATCAGAATTTTTTTTTAAAAAAAATATATTTGTTTAAAAATATGCAAAAATTTGTATTTTGATAAATAAATAATTTAATTTTTTTTAATAATAATAACTTTTAATATAGTAATTATAACTATTATTTTTTTAAAAAAATTAATTTAATAAATAATAGTTAAATAATTTTCCAAAAAAATAGTAACACTTTTTTTTATTATTGTATATCTAAATTAATATTTGTTTTTTTTTTAAATAAAACATTTAAACAATTATTAATTGTTTATTTATTTATAATAATAATAATTATTATTATTTGTTTTTTTCTAAAATAATACAAATTATTAAATAAATTGTTATAAATTTTTTCTACTGATAATTAACAAAATATGATAAAAATAAATTACAATTAATTATTAGTTAATTACTATTAAATTAAGTACTTTAAGGATAAGTGTTTAAAGATTAATAAAAAATTAATTATTTAAATAATATATTTATAATGAAAATTTTTTTTACAATATTTTATTTGAAACATTAAAAAAGTAAATTTTTTTCTTGTAAACAAAATACACAAAAATAGTTTTAATAATTTTGATAAATAATTTTTTAAATTATATAATATTTTTATAATGTATAGACAAATATTATTTTATTCAATAATTTTTTTTATAGTTTTAATGCTATTCTAGCATTAAATGCAATTGTTTTCAATGATAATAATAATAATGTAAATATTAACACATTATATATTACTGTATATCTATACATTATACTTAAATATTAATATTATTTTTTTAAACTTTTATTTTATTGTTAATAGCAGCATGGTCAATTAGCTTCTACTTTAAATAATAATCAATTAAATCCAAATAATATATTATTAATATTATTATTATCTTTAATGATAATTATTACAAAATTTTCTGTCAATTAATTGAGTACATTAGGTATTTGATTAATATTTTTTTTCTTATAAAAAAATATTACTTATAAATACATTAAGTACTAAATAAATTTTTCATCATAAAAAAATTAAACTAAATAATTTTTATTTAGTACAAAAAAAAACAAATAATACTAATAATAATAATATCTAAATAAAATTATAGTTTATCTAAAATAATTTTTTAATATTTATTATAAGTATTATTTATTAATATCCCTAATCATTATCAGTAAATTGCAACAATTAAAAAAAATATTGATTGTATATATATATATATATATATATATATATATATATATACAATACAAATATATATATATCTATATATATATATATAATGCAATATAATTATTATTATAAAATTATTAGTTAATTACTATCAAATTCAGTACATTTCAATACAGGGTAAAACAAGTTTTTTAAAGGGGGGTTACTATGGGGGAGGGGGTTACTATTCTACCAATAACATAATAAGATATTTTTTCTAAATAATAAAACACGTAGTTAATTTTGTAAAAATTTATTTTATATATATTTAAAATTAAAATAATGTTATGATAAAAAAAGATGATTTATTTATACATTAATTTAACTAAATTTTTTTTTTAACTATTTTACTGTAAATTTTGATTTACTGTATTTTGATGTAAATAAAATTTTTTAAAAAAAACATTAAAAATAGTAATTAACAATTATTAATAGCCTTACCCCATACAACCCCCCCCAGTGCTTAATATTGATTAATGTAGTTTTATGATAAAAGTTGTCTAATTTTTTTTTTATAATAATAAATATTAGTATAAATAAATTGTCATTTAACAATAATAATAATAATATAAGTTATTTTTTAATAATAAAATGTTAAACTAAATTATTTTGTTTTTTTTTGTTTTATAACAAATAAGTAATAATAATAATAATAATGTTTAGACAAATATTATTTTATACAATAATTTTTATTAGTTTTAATGTTATTCTGGCATTAAATACCATTGATTTCAATGACAACAACAATAATACTACTAATAATGTAATTATTAATTATACCTTTAAAAAAATTATAACAAATATATTTAATAGCATCATGGTCAATTATCTATTTTAAATAATAATAATAATTACTATCTATACCTATGCGGTGGTGGTATTGAAAGCCAATATACAGCCCAATGTTGGAAATATAATACCCAGACTAGAGTCTGGCAATCAATTGAATCCATGTCCACGGGTCGGGTATGGTTTGCAATGGTATCGTTGGATTCAAAACTGTATGCTATTGGAGGACTAACTGTATGTATAGTACTGTATATATATATATAACAAACATAAACTATTTTTACTAAAAAAAATTAACTAAAATTAAATATAATTATGAAATATATATATATATTTGTTGTCAAAAAATTTTAGGATAAATCTTATGATACCAATACTGTTGAATCATATGATCCGCAAACAAATCAATGGAAACCAATGAAACCGTTGAGCACTACCAGAGAGTATATATATAAAATTAATTTAATTAAAAAAATTTAATTAATTAATTAATTAATTTAATTATTATTTTAAAATTAAATAAATTCCCAGAGGTATGGGTGCGGCTGTTTTGAACGATACTATCTATGTTTGTGGCGGTTATGATGTTAATACAGGTAATTAATTTAATTATAATTAGTCTAATAAGTTATAATACGATATTATTGTTTAATAGTTATACAATTTTTTTTAAAAAAAAAGTATTTGTATTTAAAATTTTTGTTGTTTATCTAACTTTTAAAAAAAATTAATATTTTTTATTATAGCTAAACGTCATAATGATTGTGAATATATGACACCAAATAGTAGTGATGATAGTAATGATAGTCAATGGCATTTTACAACACCCATGTCAATGGTCAGGGAGTACTATCAACTGGTAGCACATGGAGGCTATTTGTATGCCATCGGTGGCTATATAGGTAACTTAACCGATACACAAACAGTTGAACGGTATAACCCGTTGACTAGACAATGGCAACCCAGGGCCAATTTAAATCATAAAATTAGGTTAGTTAAAATATAGTCAATACAAATAATAATAATAATTATTATTATCATATTTAATAATATCAATATTTTTTATACTGATATATTAATGTATATATATATATGTTTATTTTTGGTTGATAAAACAACTATATATATATCAATATATATTATATTAAAAAATCACCTAGAGCATTTGCTGCCATATCCTATATGGATAAAATCTATGTGTGCGGTAAAACATGCGAAACATACGATCCCATTGAAAACAAATGGACACCAATTGGTATTTATTTTTTTAATAATTATTATATAATTTTACTTATATTATAATAATTTAACTTTTATTAAGCATAATAATAATATATTATTATTATTATTTATAATAAAAAATATTTATTTATTTATTTATTAAAAAAGCATCATTGAATGAGAGACGCTTAGATTTACAATTAGTTAATTACCATGATCAATTATATGCAATTGGTGGCCAGGGTATAGGTTAGGATGATTTTAATTATTTGTATTATTTTGTATTAATTTGATTTAATTAATTTATATTTACAAATAGAAATTAATTTTAATTTTTAATATATATATTAATATTAATATATATATATATTTTATTTTAGCTACCGATTTGTTTGAAGTATACAATCATACTAGCAATCAATGGCTCTATAGTACCCAATCGGTGCCCTATAATGTCTATGGTTTTGGGGTAATTGAAAAAAATAATTTATTTAATTAATATAACAATTAATACATTTAATTATTTATTATTTATTTTCAGGCAATAGTATTAGATAAATAATAAGTCCAAACACTACAACAACATATATTATATTAATATGTAATTTTTAATTATATAATTAATTAATTTTAATAATATAAAAATTGTTATAAATATTTATAAAATTAATAAAAGTATTATTATTATTAAAAACTTAATTATAACTAGTTTTGCCCGCACAACATGTATAGTCGTGCAATTCTTTTGCTAATTTTAAAATACTTATAAGTAATTCGAATGATTGCCAACTACTTAACTTATATAACAAACTACTTAACCTTATGTAACAAAACTTTATAATCAATACACAATAATACGTCTTGAGAATTTTAGATTTTTATGTATATTTAAATAATTTTATAAAAATTTAAAAGTTTAATAATTTTTATGAAAAAAATTTGCATTTGAAAAAAATTACAAAATTTTTCGCTTTTAACTAACCTCCCGGTGCCCTGTGATTCATACAATATAGCAAAATGTAATAACACAGCACCTGCCTACCTGTCCATAAAGCCTAACTGAGCTCAATAATCATTTAAAATTTTCCATAGAAATAACATTGCTTTAAATTCAAATTAAAAATTTTAACACAAATTGAAAATTTTTGCATTTGAGAAAATTTATTAAAAATATAGCACAGGTAGCTTACCTCCCGGTGCCCTGTAACTCATATAATATAGTAAAGTGTAATTACACGACACCAGCCTACCTGTCCCTAAAACCTACCAGTGCTCAATAAACATTTAAAATTTCTCATAGAAATTACATTGCTTTCAATAAAAATTGAAAATTTTAATAAAAATTGAAAATTTTTGCATTTGAAAAAATTTTACAAAAATTTAGCACAGGTAGCTTAGCTCCCGGTGCCCTGAGACTCATACAATATAACAATGTTATTACACAGCACCTGCCTACCTGTCCCTAAAACCTACCTGAGCTCAATAATCATTTAAAATTTCCCATAGAAATATCATTGCTTTAAATTAAAATTGAAAATATAACAATATATTTTTAGCTTTGAATTAAAAAATGGTTGTTGAGGAAGTGTGCACACATACAAACAAACAAACAAACAAACAAACAAACAAACAAACAAACAAACAAACAAACAAACAAACAAACAAACAAACAGACAAAACTATTATATTAAATTATAGAAGATAAATAAAAGTAAACGTTTCATTCAATCATTGAATCAAATAATTTTATACAATATTAAAATATTTAGTTTTTTATTTCAAGTTTTTTTCTTGTTTTAAATAATCTAACAATTAATACATGATTTTTTGTATGTTGTTTTATTTAATTAATTAATTTATTTAATAATTTTTTTTGTCATTTATTTTTTTAATCAGGCAATAGTATTTAATAAATAATTAATAAGTTGAAGTCCAAACACCAATACATTTTAAATATATATATAATTAATTATAATAATTAGTTTTATATAAAATAAATATTGTTTTAAATATTATGAAACTTTTTTATTAATCATTATAAACTAATCAATTAATTTTATACAATAGTAAATCATTTTTTTTAATTTTAATACTATAACAACAACAAAATCTATATTAATATTTGTAATTTTTATATAAAAATTAAACTATTGTTATACATATAAAATATAATAAACAGTTTATAAACAATGATTTTTTTACAACATTAATAAAATAAAAGTAAATAAATATAATGTATTTATTAATATTTTTTTTAATTAATACATATATATATATATATATATATAATATTTAGTTTCTAATTAATTAATTTTTGTTTTAGAAAATTATATATTATAATAATACTAAATATTTTTATTTTGAACTAAAAAATTAAATTTTAACACAAATATAATATCAATAAATAATAATAATAATTTTTTATAACCTAATTTAATTAACTTAATTGTTAAATACTTTTCATATAATAAATATATTTATGATAAATAATTTATTTTATTGATAATTAAAATTATCGGTAAATTGTAAACAAAAAATTATTGATTGCAAATAATGTATTAATATTATTATTATTATCTTTAATGATAATTATTACAAAATTATTAATCAATTAATTTAGTACATTAAGTATTTTTATAAAAAATAAAATTTATTAATAAATTAAGTATAAATAAATTTTTCAGTATAAAAAAAATTAAACTAAATTATTTTTATTTTTTACAAAAACAAATAATAATAATAATAATAATGTTTAAACAAATAATAGTTTATCTAAAATAATTTTTCAATATTTATTATAAGTATTAATTATTAAAAACATTATCAATAAATAGCAACAATTAAAAAACAAATATTGATTGTATTTTATATAATGTATTATTATTCTAATAATTATTATTACAAAATTATTAGTTAATTACTATCAAATTCAGTACAGGTTAAAGCAAGTTTTTTAAAGGGGGAGGGGACTACTAGGGGGTTTTTATTCTACCAATAACATAATAAGATATTTTTTCAAATAATAAAACATATAGTTAATTTTGTAAAAAAAACAATTTTACATATTTAAAATTAAAATAATGTTATGATATTTAAATTAATTTTTTTACATTAATTTAACTATTTAACTTTTAACTATTAACTACTGATGATAATTAACTATTATTATTAGCCTTACCCCCCCCTATCACAACCCCCCAGTGCTTAACCTTTTTTTAAATATAGTTTTATGATAAAAGTTATTGAGATTTTTTTAAATAATAAATATAAGTATAAATAAATTGTCATTTAATAATAATAATAATAATATAAGTTATTTTTTAAAAATAAAAAGTTAAACTAAATTATTTTGTTTTTTTTGTTTTATAACAAATAAGTAATAATAATAATAATGTTTAGACAAATATTATTTTTTACAATAATTTTTATTAGTCTTAATGTTATTCTGGCATTAAATACCATTGACTTCAATGACAACAATAAAACTACTAATAATGTAATTACTAATATCATATATATATATATACCTTAAAAATTATTATAACTAATATATTTAATAGCATCATGGTCAATTATCTATATTAAATAATAATAATAACTATCTATATATATGTGGTGGTGGTTTTGATAGACATAAGTCAGCCCAATGTTGGAAATATAATACCCAGACTAGAGTCTGGCAATCAATTGAATCCATGTCCACGGCTCGGGTATGGTTTGCAATGGTATCGTTGGATTCAAAACTGTACGCTATTGGAGGTGTAACTGTATGTATAAATAAATAAATACTGTATATACATATATAACTAACAAATAATAAAAACAATGAGATGAAAAACAAATTTTATGATTAAAAAAAATTAAGTAAAATTTTAATTATACTGTAGTTATATAAAAAAATATATAAATAATATTCAAAAATTATTATATTAAACCTCAAATAAAAAAATTATTATATAAAACCTAAAATTAAAAAATTATTTATATAAAACCTAAAATTAAAATTATAAAAATTATTATATAAAATCTAAAATTATAATTATTAATTGTATTATTTTGTTGTCAAAAAAAATTTTTTTAGGATAAATATAATGATACAAATACTGTTGAATCATATGATCCCCAAACAAATCAATGGATACAATTGAAACCGTTGAGCACTGCCAGAGAGTATATAAAAACTTAAATATAAAATTTAATTAATTAATTAATTATTAATTTAAAAATAAAAATTAATTTTCCAGTGGTATGGGTGCGGCTGTTTTGAACGATACTATCTATGTTTGTGGCGGTTATGATGATAATACATGTAATTAAATTAATTAATTAATTATAATTAGTCTAATAGTTATTAATATGCGATAGTATTATTTAAAATAGTAATATAAGTATTTGAATATAAATTTGTTTGTTTGTCTAACTTTTAAAAAAAATTAATATTTTTTATTATAGCTAAACGTCATAATGATTGTGAATATATGACACCAAATAGTAATGATAGCAATGATAGTCAATGGCATTTTACAACACCCATGTCGATGGTCAGGGAGTACTATCAACTGGTAGCACATGGAGGCTATTTGTATGCCATCGGTGGCTATATAGGTAACCTAACCGATACACAAACGGTTGAACGGTATAACCCGTTGACTAGACAATGGCAACCCAGGGCAAATTTAAATTATAAAAATAGGTTAGTTATAAAAAAAAATATGAAAATTATTATTAGTAATTATTTATTTTTTAAATTATTATTTTTTTATATAAAAAATCACCCTAGTGAATTTGCTGCCATATCATATATGGATAAAATCTATGTTTGCGGCGGTAATGTTAAAACTACATGCGAAACATACGATCCCATTGAAAACAAATGGACACCAATTGGTATTATTTTTAAAAAAAAAATTATTTTTATATAATTTTAATTTATAATTATTTTTTTTGTAATTAAAAAAATTATATTATTATAGTCTCTAAATACTTTTAATTATTATTATTATTATTCTATAATTTTTCTTATATATATTATAATAATTAACTTTTATTATACTAATTTTATCTGATAATATTAATCTGTAAAATATCTTATAATTAAGTATTAATTATACTAATAATATATTTATTTTATTTTTATTTATTTTTTTAAAAATTACCTAGTATATTATTAATTTATTTTATAAGTTTAATTATATTTAGTAGTATATTTATAATTAGTATTTTCTAATTATTTGTTTTTTACCATAAAAAAAATTATTTATTTTATTATTTATTTATTTATTTAATAATAGCATCAATGCAAGATTGGCGCAGTGATTTCCAATTAATAACTTACGATGATCAATTATTGGCAATTGGTGGCCAGGGTCCAGGTTAATTTAATAATAATAATAATAATAATAATAGTTTTTTATTTTATTTTATTAGTTTTAACATGTCGGTTTATTTTAATTAAAAAAAATATATGATTTAAATATAATTATAATTTTTTTTGTTTCAGTTTCTTTGATTAATTATTTATATATTATTAGAAAAAATTTATTAATTATTTATTAATTATTTATATATTTATTTATTTATGTTTTAGTCAGCGATTTGTTTGAAGTATACAATCATACGACCAATGAATGGCATTATAGTACCCAATCGTTACCGTATAATATGTATGGTTTTGGGGTAATTAAAAAAAATAATAATTAATATTTAAATAATCTAACAATTAATACATATTTTATTAATTTATTTAATTAATAATTTTTTAGGCAATAGTATTAAATAAATAATTATGTCCAAACACTACAACATATATTATATATATAAATAATTTTTAAAATAAATATAATTAATTAATATTTAGGTTAATATTTATAAAAATTTTATAAAATTATTGTTATAATTAATTGTATAAATATTTTACACAATAAAGAAAATAAATCGTTTTATTAATCAGTCAAATAATTTTATTTAATATCAACAACAACAAAAAAATACATTTAGTTATTAATTTCAATACAATAACTACAAAAAATATATATCAATATAATATTTTTATTTTTTTATAAACTATTTTTATACATGAAAATATATAATTTAAATTTACATAAATAAGTTTATAAACAATGATTTTTTACAAACATTAATAATAAATAATAATAATGAAAATATTTATTATTTAATTACAATTAATATAATTTTAAATATTTTTTCAAAATTATTATTTTTAAATATTATCCAAATTATTATTATTATTATTATTACTAAATGATTTCAAATACATTAGATTTTTGATAACATTTTTGATAATATGACTATCAATCCAAACAATTGATTGAATATATAGAAAATAAAACATATGTGACATAACATAGACGGCTAATATGTTAAACATTTTTGATTGTTTATCATATAATAGATTCAATGAACTTATAAAACACAGGGATATCATTGAAAAACTAAATAAATTATATGAATTGATTTGACGGGACAGTAGTCTCATATTATGGGACTCTTTACCTATGAGACTGACTGTCCTATCGATACGCCATTGAATATCCGGATCCGATAGTAATAGTAGGCTATGATTATGATTATGACTATCATTATCATCGACACCGAAATAATCGGTCAATTGCTGGTTCATTACCTGCCAAACCCTATAGTATTTACTATTGAGTTCATAGTATAGGAACAGTAGCCCCAGATACCAGCCCTCAACATATACTATACATAGGAGGCAGTGTTGATGAAACAACAATACGGTGGCTAACTGTCCATCAGTTTTGTCGTAAAATGTAAAATACTGGTCAAAAACATCGGGTTCGTTGACCACAAAATAGTAGCCAATAGCGAGTATATATAAGCGAAAGGCTAGGTATACCGTCACCGATGATGATAAGTACCGACTACTACTAGTAGTACGGGTCGGACAGTATTTCTGGTCATACCTACACAGTTGATCATAGATGGCAAATATCTTCCGGGTATTACGTTTGACCAATAGATAGGACATACCGAGTGATACCATGAATAATAGTATACAGATTTTGTGGACCATTAGCCACAGGGGTTCGTCCAGTCGGATGACCAACGGGTTGGCACCGATCAAGTAGAGTACAAATACGGCAGTAGTTAGTCCGGTAAAAAATTGCCGTATATTGCCGTTACCCGAACCTAACGGGTCATCACGGGTTATACCGTAAATCAGGTATAGTTTGTCAAACATTTTTTTGGTATTATTATTATTATTATTGATAAAAATAATTTTTATTTTATTAGTTTATAATTATAATTATTATTATTGATAAAAATAACTATTTATTAGTAAATTATGTATAAATATTTAGAAATATTTTTGTAGTTTATTATTATTATTATATTTGTTGATAAAAATAATTATTTTGTTAATAACTTATATATCATTTATATAATATTCATCTATATTTATTATTATTAATTAATAATAAAATATTAATTTTTGTTTATAACTATTTAACATTTAAACAAAAATATTATTAATTAATTAATTAATTAATTATTTATTTATAATGTTTTTCTTTCAACTAAATATATAATACAGTAATTGTTATTTTTTTTTAAATATATCTGAATATTCATTACTTTAATACAGTATTTTTTTAATCATAAAAAATTATTATTTCATTTTACAGTAATACAAAAAAACTGCTTACAATTTTATTTCTCTATTGAATATCAAAATTTTACAGTAAATTATATATTGAAAAGTATAATAATAATAATGAAAAAGAAAACTATTTTTAGACAATTTTTTTTCCTTAAATCCCTTAAACATTAAATATATACTGTATTTTTTTTATTATATACAGTATATCTATTGTATATAATAGAGAGTACTGGTAGTATTGATTTCTATTGTATGGTGATTGTGTGTGTGTGTGTGTGTGTGTGTGTGTGTGTGTATGTGTGTGTATGTGTGTGTATGTGTGTGTATGTGTGTGTATGTGTGTGTATGTGTGTGTATGTGTGTGTATGTGTGTGTATGTGTGTGTATGTGTGTGTATGTGTGTGTATGTGTGTGTATGTGTGTGTATATATGTGTTTATGTGTGTGTATATATGTGTGTGTATATATGTGTGTGTATGAGTGTGTATGTCTGTATATGTGTGTGTGTGTGTGTGCGTGAGTGTGTGTGTAGGTGTGGATGTATTACTGAAAATAATTATATTTATTGTAAATTTATATAATAACAACAACTTGAAAAAATTAAATTTCATTTATATTGATTCACATAAGTGTATTGAATTATGTTAATAATGAATAAAAAATATTTATTTAAACTAGACTTAAGTTTAACATAAATTTCAAATATATATATATATATATATATATATATATAAATAAAATTTTAATATAAACGCAATTATATTTTCATGTTATAGTGATTTTTGATGAGAGAGAGAGAGAGAGAGAGAGAGAGAGAGAGAGAGAGAGAGATTAAAAATTTTATCTAAAATAAATATGTAATTTATTTTCATAATTATTTTTTTTTATATCTAATAATAAATTTAATAAACAACTTACTATATTTTTTAAAAAAAAATTATTACATTGTATTTATATTTTCTAATAGAAATCAAATATAGTTATATATATATAAATCAATAGTTTCCTAAAATAAATAAATTACTAATTATTTGAATTTGAATTTTATTGAATTTAAATTAAACAAAATATTTATCAGTAATTTAATAAACTATTGACTATTAATATATATAATTAGTAAATATAGTTATTATTGTAATAATAATAATAAAAATTCAAGTAAACAAACAAACAATATATATATATATATATTTTAAATAATTAATATGTAATTAAAATAACATTTTAATTACACATACAAAAAAATCCTATTTGAAAAAAACAATTGAAGTTTATTTTTTTTTAAATTTTATTAAATATCTATTATATTAATCAATAATATTTCAATATTTTATATCTATTATTATAGCACATAGAGTGCGCTAAAAATAATTTTATTTTAAAAATTATTTTCATATATTGAACATGTACATTTTTTATTGTTTATATTGAAATAAATATTACTCAAAATAAAAACCTGTTTACAGTTTTTTTTTTGTATTTAATAATTAATTTTGTTGTCAGACTGTAAATAATATTTATATATATTTTTTGTTTGTGAATTCATGTCTACATATTTGTTATCAAATTTTTAAGAAAAAAAAATTGTTTATTTGAAATTGTTTAATAATTTTTATACAGTATATGACTAATCAAATATATTATATAAATATATATATTTATAGTTAATTAATAAAAATATATTACAGTATATAATATATACATTTAGTTTTCAACAACAAGTAGTTAACAACATATAACATGTATGTATTTTATTAATTATTAAATTTAAAAAATAATAATAATTTATTTGCAATAAATTGTCTATATTTTTATAACTATATTTATTTAATTATTTATTATAGTTTTGACAATTTAAATAATAATAATTAATTATTAATATTAATTAATTAATTAAATGGCTCCGGTAAATATTAAAAAAGTTTGCATATTTGGTGCCACTGGCAACACTGGTTTATGTACAGTTAAAGCGGCAATCGATAAAGGTAGCTAGATCATTTTGATTTATTTTTAATTATTAGATTATTTTTGATAATTAGATTAATTTTTTTTTTAAAATAATGTTTTTATTTATACTGTATTTTAAATTAAATTTCAATAGTATTTATTGAATATATATATCTAGTATTAATAAATAAATTATTGAATTGTAATAAATATTATTGAAATTAATTATTAATTTTTTTAAAAAATATGTTTTTAGTATTTTATTATTAATTACTGTATTATTATTATAAGTATTTCTATTATTTGTTTAATCATTTAGTAGATGTTATTATTATTATTATTTTTTTTGTTGAATTAAATAAGTAATTAAAAAAACAATTATTATTATTATTATTGCAAATCATTTGCACAAAAATTTTTTTATTTAGTTTATAATAAAAGTTAAAAAATTGATTTTTTTTTTTATAAAAAACACATTTATATATATAGGCTATGAAGTGACGGCATTTGTTAGGGACGCCAACAAACTGGACCCCAATGTCAAGCCTCAGACGGTAATTGTCGGCAACGTTACCAATAGTTCGGATGTCGATAGGGCTGTCCGCGGACAGGATGCCATTGTTATCGTTTTGGGCACCGGTAGCGATCTCAGTCCGACTACTGTCCTGTCGGACGGCACCCGTACTATACTATCATCAGTTAAGGCCAACAATATCCAGCCTCGTATAGTCTGCTGTCTATCATGTAATCTATGACATACCTGTGCCCTAAAAATATTTACTGATTTTTTTGTTGTTGTTTTGTTTCAAAGCATTCATGTTTTGGGAACGAAACAAAATACCCGAACGGGTACTGAATGTACACTCGGATCACGAAAGACAGCTACAGTTGCTTAAGGAGTCGGATAGCCAATGGATAGTTGCCTGTCCTCCACATATCGATAGTTAGTTTGGTTTCTATCTGTCTATCTGTCTATCTGTCTATCTGTCTATCTGTCTATTTGTCTATCTATCTATTTATATATCTATCTGTCTATCTATCTATTTATATATCTGTCTATCTGTCTATCTGTCTATCTGTCTATCTGTCTATCTGTCTATCTGTCTATTTGTCTATCTATCTATTTATATATCTATCTGTCTATCTGTCTATCTGTCTATCTGTCTATCTGTCTATCTATCTATCTATTTATATATCTATCTGTCTATCTGTCTATCTGTCTATCTGTCTATCTGTCTATCTGTCTATCTGTCTATCTATCTATTTATATATCTGTCTATCTGTCTATCTGTCTATCTGTCTATCTGTCTATCTGTCTATTTGTCTATCTATCTATTTATATATCTATCTGTCTATCTGTCTATCTGTCTATCTGTCTATCTATCTATCTATCTATCTATCTATCTATCTATTTATATATCTATCTGTCTATCTGTCTATCTGTCTATCTGTCTATCTGTCTATCTGTCTATCTGTCTATTTGTCTATCTATCTATTTATATATCTATCTGTCTATCTATCTATTTATATATCTGTCTATCTGTCTATCTGTCTATCTGTCTATCTGTCTATCTGTCTATCTGTCTATCTGTCTATTTGTCTATCTATCTATTTATATATCTATCTGTCTATCTGTCTATCTGTCTATCTGTCTATCTGTCTATCTATCTATCTATTTATATATCTATCTGTCTATCTGTCTATCTGTCTATCTGTCTATCTGTCTATCTGTCTATCTGTCTATCTATCTATTTATATATCTGTCTATCTGTCTATCTGTCTATCTGTCTATCTGTCTATCTGTCTATTTGTCTATCTATCTATTTATATATCTATCTGTCTATCTGTCTATCTGTCTATCTGTCTATCTATCTATCTATCTATCTATCTATCTATCTATTTATATATCTATCTGTCTATCTGTCTATCTGTCTATCTGTCTATCTGTCTATCTGTCTATCTGTCTATCTATCTATCTATCTATCTATCTATCTATCTATCTATCTATCTATTTATATATCTATCTGTCTATCTGTCTATCTGTCTATCTGTCTATCTGTCTATCTGTCTATCTGTCTATCTGTCTATCTGTCTATCTGTCTATCTATCAGTCTATCTATTTATCTATCTATCTATCTATCTATCTATCTATCTATCTATCTATCTATCTATCTATCTATCTATCTATCTATCTATCTATCTATTATTATAACTACCGGTGCTTCGAGTATTGAGTTTTAATTGTTTATTTTGATGTACAGGTGGTCCGGCCCGCGGTAACTATACATTGAAAACTGATGGCCCGGTAGGCCGTGAAATATCTAAGTATGATTTGGCCCAGATTTTGGTCGACCTGTTGGCCGATGATGGCAACCGTATCGGACATCTGGTAGGTATGGGCTATCCGTCCGCCTAATTATTATATTGAATCTCTCAATCTATATATAAAAATATATTAATATATACTTTATATCAATATATATATATATAATGAGATTATTATTATTATATGATATGTTGTTTTAAATACTAATTTGTTTTTTATTTGAATGAAATACAAAAATAATTAATAATAAAAATTATTATTTTACTAATAGAGTAATAAGTATTAAATTTTTTTGTTAAAATATATTATTAAAAAATATTATTATTATATGTGGTATTTGTTGTGTAAAAAAATATTTAATCATTTTTTGTGTAATTAAACAAAAATCAATTATCAGTAAAAAAGTTTTTTAAAATCAATCAAAAAAATACATTTTAAGTACAAAATACTGAAAACATTGAAATAAATATTTTTTTGTTTAAAAATAAAATATTTTATCACATATTAATAACTATCAAATTAATATATATATATATATATATATATATTGAATATTAGATTATATTTCTAAAAATTTATAGTTTTTTTATAAATTTATTTTATTTAATAAATTAATTAATCATCAAATAAATTATAATCAATGCCTGTTATATAATATACTTAATACTGTAATATATTTGTGCTATAAATATATATATATATATATATATATTAAATTTTTATCAATTAATAATTTATTTACAAATGTAATAATAAAATAAAATTTCAATTTATATATACAACTATTATAGACATAATTTTTTTGCTTAAAATTTTTGATATTTTTTTTAAGTACATAACATTAGTTACACATTAATGAACTTTATTTGTATTAATATTAAATACAAACAAACAAAATAATTACAATTATCTAAATTTTATAAAAAATATTTTATCAAAAATAAGTGTATGGATTAAAAAAACATTTGATTGAACTTATAATTGCAATAATAATAATAATAATTTATTATTATTATTATTATTATTAAATATTACAAGTATGCTAAGCATTGGTACATTAAAAATAAGTACATTATTATTATTATAAGTAAATTATTGACTATTAAATATAACTTTTTTAAAAATATATATTTATATTCAATATATATATATATATATATTTAACGTTATATTTAAAATTAATATAAAGTATTGACAATAATCTGGTAGTGATTTATTATTATTTTTATCAATTATTATATATATATATATATATTTATATATATATATACATCAAACATATATTAATCAGTTTACAATAGCTTGATGTTGGTCTATTTAGTTAAGCATGGTTAGTTTTAATATATATATAAACTACCTGTATGATATAATAATTATATACACACATAGTGTATATCATATCTAATCTTTAAAAAAATTAATTAATTACTAAATTACTACACAAAATAAATAAATAAATCATTAATTTATTTTGTGGTTGTATTTACAATAACACTTGAAATTGTTCACAAAAAAAATTATTTTAGTTATTTTTTATTTATACTAAAATATTAATTAAAAACAAACAATTTATTCAAAATTTTTCTCATAAAAAAATAAAATATGAAACAATTTTTTTTGTCGTTATTGTTAATACAATATATATTTTTAATAATTGTTTTTGTTTTAATTAATTTTGTTTAAAATGTTTTTTTTATAAGTTTCAAGTGATTTTTCTTATTTAAAAAAATAAATAACTATTATATAAATATTAATAATAGATATTTAAAAAAATAAATATATTAACTGTTTTAATAGTTTATAACTTATATAATAATTTTTTTTTAATAAAATAAAACTTCAAATTCAATAATCAAAAGTTTAATTTAAAATTTTTTCTAATAAATAAATATTAATAAATAATTTTTATAAATTGTTTTATTATTTAAATTTTAATAGAAAAAAATCAAATTATTTTTCACATAATAATAATAATACAGTAATAATAATAATAATAATAATA